GTTGCTGAAACCAATTGGTATCTTGTGAGCCTTGATTTTTAAACTTGAAGTATTCAACAAGTTATATTTCATCACTCTATGAAATTGTGCAACTAGCTTGTACATAATTCATGTATGTTTCAAAACACTTTTCCAAATTAATGTGAAGAATTCGACAAACCAAGTCAGGTTCTTTGGTGGAACAGCAAAAGCCAAATTGCTGGGGCATGTTAAATGCTGCATTCTAGAACTTGCTGGTTGGTCTGGACTGAGCAACCAAAACTTCGTCGGCATACCTCCATACTAGAGGTGGTTTTTCTGGGTAGAACGCCAAGGAGATATTCTGCATATAACTACATTTTTCAAATGGCCACTTCGGATACATAAAGATCATAATTGCTATCTTACGCAACATTTCTTGTCAAATTGCGCGTATAATATTCCCTTTTCGGTTACACAAAAAAAAAAAAAAAATTTTCTCGTCATCTCACGATCGTGCACGTGAAGGAATTAGTATTGTTTAGGTTTAGGAATTGTTTATGATGTAAAACATGTTCATGAACAATTTCCGTAGAACCCAAAAATTATACCAAAATTTATAAGAGATGAATTTTCACAAATCAATATAAATGGAGAGGCAATTTACACACATACACGTCTGTGCAGGGGAAGAGAAATAGTATCAACAATAATATATTAATCACATATTAAAATAACAAGACTTTCAAATTTCACTTTTCTCAACTAATGACAATAATATGACTCTCTATTTATAAACTAAATGACTTGATAAAGAAATCTTATACCATAAAAAATTTTATGATAAAATACTCATTCCTAAACAATAAACATGGCAAATCTTACCAATTAACACTACTTTGATACACGAATTGAAGCTGTTTCCCCTGCGTAGTTCACAGAATTAATTGCATCAACTAACTCGAACTTAATGGAAGTCCAACTCTTTTTTTTTTTTTTTTGCCTCTAATGGAAGTCCAACTTGCCAAACTAGGAAATGAGGCATTAGGTGTGCTTTGGAATACTCTTTCTATTAAAGGTTTGTCTATTTGGTGCTTTAAGGGCACCAAAATAAGAAATGTGCTCAGTGTTTGTAAAAGGATAAATTTTCTTTGTAAAAGTGTTGTAATTCAGAAGACGAATAGTAATTTTAGAGATTTGATAATGTGCCCACCTTTTCTTTTTGTGTATTTTTCTGGTGTGAGGTGTCCTTGTATAACTATCAAGCTTCAGTGAGTCTTCATCCTGCATTTCAATTATAATAATGTCGCTTTTGTGAAACCAATAAATACTTTGTATGCAGTCAAAATTCTTTTTTGTAAAGCTGAAGTATTGAGCAAGGTTTTTCATCAACTTTATGAAAACTTGCAAGTTGTACACAATACAGGTAAGTTTCAAAAAGCTTTTCCAATTAAATGGCATGCAATTAAAGATGTTCTCGAGAGTTTGGATGTCGGCAATTGTCAACTGCTTCTTTGAGGTGCCAAAAATAAAAATAAAAATAAAAATTAAGAGGTGCAGGAATACTGATAAATAAGATACAGAAATACAAAATTAAAGTCGAGGAAAACACTAGAAACCGAAAGTCATACATATCTTGCCCATAAGACAACCACATAATTTTTATATTAATTTATTCTTGAATTTTTTTACTACAAAGTCAATCCACAAACAGGGTAATCTGCTTGTGTGAAAACCTGGTAGATGGGGAGAGTGTCTGCGTTGACAAAATCTGAAAAGTTGAGAAAAGAAATATATAGTTAAGTAGCTAAATTTGGACAAATTTTTGCACAAAAAAATTGGAATTATTGCTAAGGAAAAACACCTCGAGAGAGTCCACTAAAGAGCCCAATATGTGAGTCAGAAATCCAACTTTGACCCAAAAGCTTAATCTGTTAGGTTTTGGATCCTTACTTACATATTTATTAGCTTTGTCTCCATCTCTCGGACCAATGTGGGATACAACCCTTTACTCATGAACCTAACAATTATACATCCTGTATTCCCGAGAAATTTTTTGCTTGAGCAATCCATGACACATGATCTTAATTTTAATTATTCGCATGTGAAATACTCATTTGGCATATTTGTTTTGAATCTAAATCCGCTTGTATGAAATTTCTCAGCGCTTGTCCATATTGTTAGAAAATAGTATAGGCAATAGAAATGTCCATGTCTATGTCTATTTGAATCTTGCATCCAAGAAAACGAAGAACAGCTAGTAATCAATCAATCTGCTGGGAAATTCAGGCCTTATGTACATATGCATATAAGTGTGTAAAAATGGTATACTTAGTTGAATAAGTAGCTCGGATTCTTACTCAGAGCATCGCCGGGGTGAAATTACGTTCCCTGCAAAGTAGTAGCCGGCCGGATCAAATTTACTCGCCCAAGTAACTGCATACATGCCGGCCATACTTGGGACGGCTACAGCATCTAAAATGAGGAAGAAACATATGACCGTTGGTGATTGAGAAAAGTCCCATTTTGCATGGGGGGTAGCTGCAGTTCTATGAATATGCTTCTAGTTGATTAAGAATGAAGTAGCTTGGAGACAATGGTAAGACGCTATAACTACAAATACTTCTCATATATATGGGAATGAAGAAGGACCTGACTAAATTGGCTTTGCATATGAGGGATGGCAGCGTTAAATGTTGATTGAGAAGGAATTCAATAGTCAGATAAGTATATGGTCATCAAATCATGATAGCCAACCCCATATGGTCGAATCATTCTTGATTTTGGATTTAGTGCAGCTCCACGGCCAAACTGCACAACCATAAGATTTCAATAGATGCCAATTGCTTAGAAACAAAATTTCATTTAGTGTGTACTGTTAACTTACTTGTAGCCTTTACAAATTTCATTTTTTTAATTAATTTTCAAAAAGGTCCCTCCTGGGCAGCTCGTTTGGTCACGACAGCCCTTTGGAAGTCATTGTCCAGCTTTTCCACCAGGGATCGAGTCCCAGCAGTTACCATATTCGAGGGGAAGGGACCTCTCCTCCGGAGTCGGAATGGGATTAGTCGGATCCCGTAAGGATTGATCCGGACACCCACTTCGTCAGCAAAAAAAAAAAAAAAATTCAAAAGGAAGATTAAAGAAAAAATCTCTCCCCCTCGCTCAATGTTCACTGCACCCGTCCCTTCCACGTCTTTCTCCACCATCTAGCCCACCAACTTTTCCTTACATACGGCCCAGAATTTTAGTTTAGGGGAGGCGAATCATCAATGATATAATAGCAAAAAAATTCTATTGCAAATTAATAAAGCATACTAAATGTAAAATGATAGTTCAATAGGCTATAATTAGAAATAAGAAATTTTTAAAAATAAAGACAAAGTATAAAGAAAAATGTGAAAAGTAAACCCTACACCATTCTCTTTACTATCGACGTGAGGCGTTCAAAAAACCATGGTTGAAACTTTTGAAGAAGTAGCTCCGCTTGTATGAAGTTTCTTAACGCCTGCCAGTTTTAAAAGCATTAACCCAAGGAAATATATACACAACAGTATAAGCATTACAAATGTTAATGTCGATTTAAATCTTGCACCCAAGAAAACGAAGAACAACTAGAATTGAATCAATCTGCTGGAAATTCAGGCCTTATGTACGTATGTGTAAAAACGCACTTAGTTTGAAAAAGTAGCTCGGATTCTTGCTAAAAACATCACCGGGGTGTGAAATTTCTTTCCCTGCAAAAGTGTAGCGGGACCAACCTTAGTTGCCCAAGTGACAGCATATATTGCAGCCGTACTTGGCAGGCAACAGCATCTGAAACCAGCCAAAAACATATGACTTTGGTGACAAAGAGAAGTCCCATTTTGTATAGTGGGTAGCTGCAGTTCTATGATTACGCTTCTAGTTGATTAAGAATGAAGAAGCTGGAAGACAATGGTAAGACGCTATAACTACAAATACTTCTTATATAGACGTGGATGAAGAAGGCCTTAACTAAATTGGTTTTGCATATGGGAGATTGCACTATTAATGTTGATTAAGAAGGAATTCAATAGCTAGCTAGATAAGCACATGGTCATCAAATCATGATAGCTAACCCCGTATGGATGTGAAATACATATGGATAGAAGACCAAATCTACTTATCAGTTAACAATGTTAAGGACAACGAAATCTTTTAGTGTTGGGAAACTACATAGAACCTTTAGAAGAAAGTTTAGGGACAACTAGGTGGGGTGCCATAATTCTTGTTTTGATTAATTCCCTGCTTCTTTATGTATAATTCCAGATCTTCAGGCCTTTTTGGAATCTTTTTTTTTTTAATATATCTTTGTGGATAATCTTCTCTTTTACAACTGCTAATATTTTTATAGGTTAAGTTGAAGTTTACAGGGTTGAAGCCAATGAAACTTTAGTCAAGTAATTAAAATTGGGATCTCAAGAATTATTTAAATTTCTCTTCTCTTCTCTTTCCCTTACTAAAAAGATGGAAAAAATTAGAGCCTAAAAAAAGAGAAGTTTAAAGGGTTGGAAACATGGGATATCCACGGAAGCCGGCTCGAAATATTTGATCTTAATTCGGTGAATTGCTGACTTACTTTTACAGTTTTTTTTTTTTTTGGGCTTCACCTTGGCTTATATTATGATAAACCACAAAATTGTTAAGATGCAATCAAGGAAAGAATTACACATCATGGCCTCATTCTACAAAGTCGACGAATTTAACTTTGTACCATTTGTATCACCCATTGCAAAATAATTATACAGAAAAACCATGAAAAGATCTGCTTTATTATTGTCTTTATTCCATTACGAAAAGCCACACGATTAACGCAAATCATAAACGACAAAACAAACCAAACAACGAGGAAATAAGGGACTAATAACCATTGTATCACACGGAAGCCATTTACGTATATGGCGTTTATTCTTTTTTTTTTTTAGTAGTTATATTATTGCAACCGACTTAGTATTAATAGTAGCTAGCCAGGATGCCCATAGTGTAGAGAAACTGATCGTGAAAATGGTTCTAGCAGCTCCTCAAGTAGCATGGAGTAGAAGCTTCACACCATTCAGACATTCGATGAGATCGGAAACTAAGTAGAAATCACCAATTCCGGGAATAGTGTAAACGTTTACCGCTTGACGCCCAATTACGGTCCTGTTTGGAGTCAGTTGACAACTATCATATTCCGCTTTTGATACTTGGTAAATGGGAATAAGATCTGGGTTGACGAAATCTACAGAAGTTGCCAAAAGAAAGATAGAACAAAATAAGACACAGTTAGCTTAAATACGGAGAACACATGCATTTAGGAATAATAATATCGATTAATATTTTTACATGGGTAGTGTATATACTAGCAGATATAAATACATGTCACGTATGCAAGAACCAAAATTCAAATTAAATGGTATGTATCCATACTCGATAATTTATATACTTCCAATGCATAAGAGACAAAACCCTAAAAGCATTGCGCATGCACCCAACAGGAGAAAAGCTAATACAAGATTTAGTATTAAATACATGCCAAAATAACCAAAATCGGGCTTTGGGCTGGGCACCCATTTCGCATGACTAAATCTACTTTCGAGTAGCGGTTGTGAATTCCCTTATCAACAAAAAAAAAAAAACCAAAATAAAACACACCCCTAATAATAGGGATCTTACTGATCGTATCACCAGCGTGAAGATTGGACAACTGCAGAAGAGTTCCTGGAGATGCTAAATTAGTTTTTGTCCAAGTAACCACGTATGATGCTGCCAAACTTGGGACAGCAAGGGCTAAAATAAAATGGAAGAAAAAGATCACTTTGATGGCTGAGGAAGGGCCCATTTTTGTGTACTGGATGATGGTAGGAATTAGATCGATATGGAGAGCAGAAGAAGCAATTGATGGATGAGTGCGAGTTTGCCCATCAGCTAGTGCTTTTATAGATGCTGATTTGGATGGAGCCATCCCTAGTTATTAATGGATATTACCTACTCGTTTATCAATCGGGTGAAATTAACATAGTAAATAGTTTAAAAAGGACAATCCTTCCCTGCACTTTTGTACTGTATTGCATGATAAATTAAAAATCAGAAAGCTTACAGAGAAAAAAGTCCGAATGTTTGAGCTGGAAATTAAGTGCCATAAAATTTGCCATAAGTTATTTATGGCAACGCCCAAGTTTCAACATACAAATTTCAATCATTTATTTCCAGTTTTATAAAATGGTCCGTGCTCTTGTACGAGAAAAAAAAAAATTGGAGGTTCTAATACCATTTGGTATTTCGAACTGCAGACACCGAAGTTAGATTGTATGCTCTTTTTTTTTTTTTCGTACTAAACACAATGTTTTAGAATAGTCGTACCGTCTTCAACTTCTCATGCATCTTCTTATCGTTACAGAGCTTGAATTGTCTCCATCAGAAATGTAGCACAGCAGAATTGTAATGCGACCAGCTATTAGTTTTTCGTTTGCTGTAATCATAAACTTTTGAAGAGCTGAAAGCTTTAACCCATACTTGCTTGAATGACCTTAATCGCTAATTTCTTATAATTATCTTCTCATTTTTACATTATTAGAGGTTATTATTATATAACATTTTTTTGAGGGTAATAATTATTTAAATTTCAAGGTAAATAGGGCTTACGTTGACGAAAGCCAAATGTCTTTTATCTTCTGCAGAATCGTTATGGGCCTTATGGTATTAGGAAGTGTGATAGAAATTAAACCAAGCTTTCTAGTCCTATTAGTGTCATGCGTCAATTGGTTAGATTGTTTTTTTTTTTAAATTTTAACAACTATAGCCTCTAATTTAGTATCACTTAGGCTTTCGGGAAGTTAGAGTATTATTCGTTTTCCTATTATTCGGGTCCGAAGTTTGTTTCCATTCCATAGTAAATTAGGAAATTTCTAATCAGTTTCAAGTAAATTTCGGTTTGCATTTGTTCTTATTTAGAAAACTTAGCTTCTATAACATTGAAAATGTTATACTTTTCATTTTGCGATGTTCCAAAATATTTGTCATGTTGAGAAAATCAAAGTATTTTTTAGTCCCTCCTTCCAATATATTCCCTCATTTTAATCGTATAGTTATCATTCAAATTCAAATTTTAATTTTCTGGGGGGTAAGATTGGAAAGAGAAATACAAACATTAGAATCAAACTATTATATTTTAAAAAGTTAGATTTCCGAAACATAACAAAATAATTGAGACGAAGGAAGTACTAGTCCAGTACGTTGTTACTTGAAGAGTTGAGTTGAATCGAGTCTTAGAGAGTGAGTTTGAGGAAAAACCTTTAGAATTGAGATTTATGAGTTGTCAAAAGCGAAATGTTACGACTTGATATTTGTTGAGTTCTGAGCTAATAAAAATTATTGAATATTTGTTGTATGTTTATTTTCCTCCTTTTTTCACATATTTTTATATATGTTAAAATTGCTTCCACTGTGTATGCATGATTTTATTTTGTGTCAACAATTGGTATCAGAACTTTAGATTTTGATCCTAGGGCTTGTTTGCGAAATTAGGGCACAAAGTTAGAAGATTTATTACTGAAGATTAGGAAACGAAATTGATCCTAATTGAGTAGAGATTAAAAAAAATTAATATATGGATTCATATTTTTTGCAACACAGTGCCGCTTTTATCTCCAATGATAAAAACAAATTTGAAGTTTGAAGTTGGATGACAGACACATTTTTTCAAACTATTGTAGTTTGGAATATTGTCCAAATAAGGTTTACAAAACCTGCAGAAGGTGCAAAATCATCAAGTAGTGCAATTAAAAAGTTAGAGAAGAATAGACAATTGAATCACAAGGCACTCCATTATCTTAGTGTAAAAGTCCATTTGTATGTATTCAAAAAATTTATGCATGCAAAGACGGCAAGGGATGTTTGCACAATTCTGGTGAAACCTAATTGTGGTCATATTAGACAAGAAATGTGTAATGAAAAAGAAGAAAAAGATTTTGAATGAGGCAAAGAGAGAAGAAATTGTCGGTGTACTAGAAAATGAAGAATTTGCAACTTAAAAGAAAATTTGCAAATGGTTAAGAAAGAAAGCGAAATCACTAGTGAAATTAATGATGTGAATGAAGATCCTGATCAGGTTGAAATTTTTTATTTTGTTGGAGTTCATGAATTATTTGAAGAAAAAAAATCAAATAGTTGGGTTTGTTGAGATCAATTATAGAGTGGATGATTTAATTAAAAATTGTTGCAAATTGAAGTGGTTGTCAATATAAACCAAACAAAAATAGATTGTATTAGTGGTGGCAATCATGATTTTGTAATTTTGGGAGATTTTTTTGGTGACATGGATGAATAAAATTATGTATCATGCAATGAAGTACATATGAACATGTTTGAATTTTTTTTTTCACAGAAGTGATCATGCCAAGTAATTATTTGAGAATTATAAGTGTTGTCTACTACCACTTGTAACGCTGAAATTAAAGACCAATTACAAGTTAGTATTTCACATTATTTATATAGCAACCAAGTTTTCTACGAAGATTCAATCTCACGATGGTATTGGAAATGATCATAATTGCGAGTTTGGTTTAAGGGAGGTAATGATAGAAATTAAATCAGGTTTTCTAGTCCCATTAGTGTCATGCGTTAATTAGTTAGATTGTTTTTTTTACAACTGAAGCTTCTAATTTAGTATCACTTAGGATTTGGGAGATTAGAGTATTAGTCAGTTTCCAACAAGTATTAGCCAGTTCAAAGCTTGTTTCTTTTTTCATAGTAGATTGGGAAAATTTAAATCAGTTTTCAAGTAAGTTTCAATTTACAATTATATTTATTTAGAAAGTTCAGCAGTTTATAAATACTACTAGTCCAACAAGTATGTTGTTACTTGAAGAGTGAATTGAGTCTTGAAAAATAAGTTTGAAGAAAAGCCTTTAGAATTGAGATTTGTGAGTTGTTGCAAGTGAAAGACTATGATTTGATATTGTTATTGTTGAGTTTTTAGTTAATAAAATGATTGAGTATCTATTATATATTTTTTCTGCCCCTCTTTTCACATATTTTTATATATGTTAAAATTGCTTTCGCTGTGTATGCGTTATTTATTTTTTGTGCCAACGAAATGGAATTGCTTGATGTGCAACTGGACGTGTTTATCGAATTAACCAATTGAATTTAATGTCTACTAGCTGGATCTTTTGACAAAATTTAATTCTTATTCATATTCAGAGGGACATTTTATTTTGTCAAGAAGTTTTGATCTAGTGATTAAAGTTGAGGCTTCAGAAATTGAAAGTTCTAGGATCTAATTCTTCTACTCCCTTCCTGCTTCTTAAATCACACGCCTTTCTTATTAGAGATGAAAACAAAATGAGGGCCCTTACATTTTTTTTTATACCAAATTGGATGCTCTCATCTCTCAGTTCTTCTGTTCGAATTTATACAAAAATATCTTCCAAAACCATTCCACTCTGGCGTCGGAATGATACGAAAAAAATTAAGAGTGTTCTCTTGTTTTATCTGAAATGATTGAGTCTGCATCATGTCATTGTTAAGAGCCATACAGTTGATTGAACATGATTACAACCAACTTTCTTGACCATGCCTGAATCAGGTTCATTCTGGCAATAGATGAGAAGCAATTAGGTTAATAATTTGTTGGGATTGTAGTTTAATTTGCCTGAATATCACTTAAATCTTCGGCATATCGAAGGCCATTGAAACCGTCATAGACTCTGAAACTGCTGGTGAGAGCAGATATTTCCCAACCTCCACTTAAGCCAAAAAATGCTCTTAAGTTCTGCAACTCCCGAGTTTTTGAGATTTTTTTTACCCCTTTGTGAGGGTACCATCCTTGAGAATTATCTAAAAGACGAGAACACAGAGAAAGAACGGAAGCATATTTCTTGATCGCCCTTAATTGCGCGTAGCAGTTGCTACTCATTGGATTTATTTCAATTAATTACACTCCTAGCTTTAAGGCTGAGCCCAAAGTAATCTACAGGCTAAAACAGTACAATGGCTTTGAGCTACTATAGTAGTAATCAAGAATGGCGGCTTTCTAGGATGCAGCAGTAAAATTTGACACCTAATATGGATTATTTAGTCAAAAATTTCAGATCTAATGCAGGCTGGTGACCAAATGACATGTATTACGATGCAATATAATAGCCTCATAAGCCTTTTTACACAGAGATTTTCAGCTGATCATATTGTACCACCACTGGTTATCAAGTTTTGGGAAAATTAGGATTAATGCAGGAATAGGAAGAACTAGAATTCAAAAGTAAGGTATAATTAAGTTTTGGGAAATTTTGCAACTGTTCATTAATGATGAAGAATGGTGGGATATGTACAAATCCACTGTGATACACCAAATAGTTTGATTGTAAAAAAGATAGCTATAACTTAGTCCTTAAAAAACGTCTAATTTTCAAAAGAAGCCACCACTGCTGATGGAGTTTCTTTTATCAACAAAAAACGTCTCTTTTCATTTTTCTTTTTTTTTTTTTACTTCAACGTAAGTGGGAGGACTCTTTTCAAACAAAAGTGAAAAGAGTCGAACTCGAAACCTCTTATTTACATTCGCTACCTTTGAACCGTCAAATCCATCCCTCTTCAGCATTGAGCCTACTTATGTCCGAGAATTATGAATCTAACATCTATCTGAAAATGAGCAGATTACCGTTGATTAGGGCCAAATCAGCGGCGGCTCCGCCATAATCACCTACAAAGTCTTAAACATGTGACAAAATTTGTACCAAAATCTTCGGTCCAAAAAGTTGTCAAGAAACCTACTATTTATTTCGCACGAAAATGGCTAGAGTGCCACAAATTAGGACAAACCTAAGGAGGCACCACCACCACTTATCCAATTGCAAACCAAGTCCAAATACAACAAACTTCATTCTAGAGTCTTCATCTTCGGAGACTAGATCACGAATATACATACAATCATATCATACAAAAATAGCTTTAGAGCCACAAATC